CGATTTCTCTTCCTCAAATAATAAATCACCACGTGAGTTCCAAAAGTACATACCAGTCATAAATAAACTCTTTTTTCTGGCTGCCCGATCTTTCTTGGTCTGCCTTTTAATGTTTTCCCAACAACACTTTAACACCGTATGTGTTCGATGGCAATATGTGCTGATGGTGTTGAATTCTTCAGTAAGACGAATCCATCCTTTTATTTTTACCGAGTTCGTGGTAGCATCAGTGCGCTTATTTTCAACTATGTCCCGGTATTTAAGAACCAACTCCGTAAGAATACGTTTCTCGTCGCTCGAAAAATTTATCGTTCGCTTTTTATGGCCTCCTAACTCCATTTTAAATAAAAAATATATGTTTGAGCTAACGAACCGACTTGCTTCACAATCACAAAACACAACACAAATGAATATAATATTTCACTTTGACATTGACAGCAAACGATTTTATCCGACCGAAATTAAAACTACTACTATTTGAACTTTGTTAATACATTGTCATACTTTTCAAGTTGGTAGCATTCTACTTTAAACTACTCAATTGGGATGTTACTGTGTAGCATGTCGACTAAATGAGTTACTACGACTCCGCAAATGAGTCACATTATACCATTCATTCATTCACTCTTACCGGCTGGCGATCGGTTGATTTGTAAACCGTGGTTAATATTTTCGTTGTGAACAGTAATTATTTGACCGGCTGTTTAAACATTGTTTAGAAGTTAACCGGGTGATCAATTAAACGTGGGTTAAACAACAGTCGATGAACTCGGGCCTTAGTCTTGCAAAGTAAAAGTCGCGTGCCATCCCAATAGCTAGACAATAACAATAAGTTTACGTCAAAAGAGCATTTTCGAAAGATACGATCGTGGATATTCGACAAGACTCGGCCGCATCGTTACATTGACCTCATTCTGGTCTTCCGCTTGCAACATTGTCTCTCTCACACGATCACCGGTTTACGTAGGAGCAAAAAAGACGACAATAGGCTTGCATTACTGAAACCAGACGCGTGTCACTCAACAATTGGGTTGCTAAACGGGTTTCCATTATAATTTAGGTTGCATGCAAGATTTAATTAAAATATGAAATTCTATACATGTTCGAAGTAGTAGTGACGCTATTACAAAAATGATAATTTTATTATCAAGCATTTATCATTCGTGTTGTAATATCATATTGTAACAATCTACAGGTTTTCTTCATCATGATTTCTATGTGACTATTATCAAATATTTTCTTAATAAAAAAACATTCAACAACCATCTCTTCCTTAAATATTAAACATGAATGAATAACATTAAAACGTCTTTAATCAAACACTTTAACACGCGTAAAGTTGAAGAAGTAGTGGATCACTACCCCATTACAAGTAAGCAATCGTGCAACTTAAGCACTAACATGTCTAACTGACTTGTTCGCGTAATATGGTCATATAACAAAATCTTAATTTTGATAGATACGTGATAAATAATCTAATCTCAGTTAATACAAATGAGAGGGCTTTCATCTCATCATCATCAGCCTATTAATGTCCCCAATGCTGGGGCACAGGCCATCCATATGGATGGAATAGGGAGATTGGGCCATGACCCACCACGCGGGCCCAGTGCGCATTGCTGGGTGCTAACGACTGCAGATGGAGCCGGGACCAACGGCTTACGTGCGTTCCGAAGCACAGAGGAGCTCGAGATAGTAATTTTAGGTCACCTATCCAATGACCGACCACTGCGAAAGTTGCTTAAGTTCAACGATCGCAGCTGAACGCGTTAACCACTTGCGCCATCGAGCTCCTCTTTCTTTCATCTCATTTGTATCAAATAAGGAATCTCTTCTCTCTTTGATCACTCTCTTACAGTTTTTAAGTCATTCTACTGCTTTAATAAAAATATGTTAATCTAAGACAAAAATATATGCTCCCATTTAAGTACCTACATAAATGATTATGACAAATTGACCAACAATCCAACGTAAAGATTATTCATCAAATCAAATCGTCGTACATAGAAAGGTCGATTCATGTAGACACATTATTAGATATACATAGTACCATTGGTTAGCATTATCTTGATATAATGTTATCTAGCAGTCCTGTTCAGCAGTGGTGGTTAAGCGTGGGCGTGGCATTAACCCACATAAGAACCCGTGGGAGGCCGTTCTAAAACTAATACTGAGAAGAAAAATAACGCCAACAGTTTGTTCGGCGAGTACGCAATCTTCGTTACCGCAACAGTTTAAGAATAACCGCTTAGTGCGACATTGAAAGTCTAGCAACACTGGTGACTAATGCGTTGGGAAATAGTGTCGGTTAGGCTGGTGTCGTGAGGCTGATTGAAGACTTGGGAGTAATTAGCTGGAGGAAGGTTAACATCCTGAAAAAAAACGCAACGCAACAATGTTTTTACACAGCGTTTATAGGTACTTTTCGTATTTCCAATGTATTGCTGTATACAAGTGGTAAGAAGTTGAGATGAAGTCTTTTAAGCAGAATTGCCTGAACAATGTAGCTTCTCCGTAAATATTCTTAAATCAATACTTATGGTGTTACCTTGTACTGAATCCCTGAAATTTCTGGTAAACATCAAAGATTTATTGACGTTATTCTAAAATTGTAGAATTAAACAGTACCTTGGCCTTGAAATTTAGTCGATATTTAGTATTTATCGTTACTACGTATTTACTATGCACGTCTGTAGTCACAAGTCGAAAAAGAATTATTGATAATATTACACTAAAACTAAGTGATAGGTTAATCTTTTGACTCGCCTTATTCAGTCATGTCATTCCATTTATTGAACTTTTTTTTACGGGATATAGGAAAACATATAACTTTACTTAGTTATTAACATATTATTTAGCTATGTAATTGGCGCAATTAATTTTTATACTTTTTTTAAATCACAATTATCAAATAGGATTTTGGCCTGCTGGTTCTGAAAAATAATCAGCTTACATTTTGTGTCCATATCCTTAAAATGCACCAAGCAGAGTCTCAAGATTTACCCTGATATTTTAATAGGATTCTTTCTAAATTTCTTCGTTATACAATAACCTAACAGGTCAAACCAAAGTTTCAATAATAAACATAACAATGCCAGCAAGTTTCCGGTGCTGACTTCGATACAATAATTCTTTTGTGCAACTGTCTGTCTGAAGGTTGGCTTGGCACATCTCCAACCGCATCAGAGGGGTCGGACTTCGGAGCAAAGAACTAATCAAAAATATAAAAAATAAAAATCAATATGCAGCTTTTAAACATATCAAAACTTCGCGCGATAAAAAAAAGTTATAGCATGCTGGGCTTTATAGTCATTATATGTTTCTGCTTTCACTTTGAGTGAAATAAAGAAAAAAAAAAATACATCATCAAGGATTTAGTAAATGCATTAAAAAAAAACGCGTCCAGTACATTGTTAAAAAACTGAAGTTGTGATTTTATTTATTTTTAAGCATTTAACTGCTAGATGTTTAAATCAGGGACTGAATAACCCAAAAATTAATCTATCTTTAAATTGCGGTATGACGTCATATCGAAAAATAACGGTTACCGCTTTATTTCGATATCCAAATTTATTTCGGTACCGTAATTTTTTGTGTATATATATAAAAAGGTATATTTCGGTACCGGTACTTAAACCTTTATAAATAAAGGTATGAAAGAGACGGATATTGACTACCCCTCCCTCATGTGGTAGCGCGAGTTTCTCATCAAATTGCATTAGTTTGGCTTGTTTTGGAGGCACAAAATCACATGCGCCTCGCGTAATTTCCTGTGCATAGCAATGTCAAATAACACTCGAAAAGTTATGATTACAGAGACAGGTAAGTAGTGGAGTACTTATGTAAATTCTTAAAGTACTGTAATAAAAAAGGAAGATTAGTGTTAATATTTTCTAACTCGTGGACTGGAGTTTAGTAGGTTTATCGAGGTTGATACTCTCTATTCTAACTTTAGTTTTATTACTTACTCGTTTTTCAGATCAAAGGAAGATTAAAATACGTGACAATATTCGCAAAAATCTTAATTCTCAGTCTGAGAATATTGTGTTAACTGAATATGAAATTTTACCAAAGAAATCTAGGGTGCCGACTAGTACCCAGGAAACCTTCTGTTACTCACAAGAAGAATTACCGGATTCTCAACCATTTGATGATTTAATATATTCCAGAGAAATTGATAAATATACCCAAAAAGGTGCTAATAATGCCAGAGAGGCAACTTACACCTTTGATTTGCACAAGGATCTGCGTGATTATCAATCTGTTGACGATTTATCCAACTCTGGAGAAATGTGTACCCATAAAGATAACACTATTGTAACAACAAGAGAAATTGGTACTATGACGGAATGCGAAGGCTGCAACATGAGTGCAGAAAAAGAAGCAGAGTGTAACGATTTTTTTGCGAAAATAGTCGCATTGGAGATGTCTAAGTTTCACGGAAACATGCGTTACAATAAGATGAAAGAAATATTGGATATACTGAAGAAAAGCGATACATAAAAAATATTTTTATTAAATCAATGACTAATTAAAATGTACCTAAGCCATATGATGGTCTCCTGCCATGGATTAAATAATTTCGCTTATTAATTCATTTTTATTTGGTAATTTTAATAAAACACATTATGTTAAAATGGAATCATTTATTTAATTTTAATGACCGTTTAGTTTGATCGTCTAGTTTAAGAACCTGAGGATTGATAAGGATTTTGTCAATTTAGTTAAGTGCAAGGTACACTAATGGCGCCAATGATTTTTTTTATAGTGTGGCAAATTATAAGACATTACAAAAACTTTACACATAGTCAATAATACAATCAAATACCTTTTGTTAGTCAAAATATTTCAATTATATTACTTAATAATCCTAATCAGTCGCTTTTACCACAAATCACATCTGGATCAAAATAAGTATTAGATAGTATTAGAGTGATTACAAGTGAGAAATTATAATGAAACAAAAATTGCCTAATCATATTTTTTTGAAATAACAATATTTAACTGTTGTTTCTTATAATTAAAATGTCCTCGACTATATTGTTACTTAAATTATAACGCAAATCATTTAATATGAATTTTAATGATGAAAAAAAGCGCTCTACAGTAACTTGTGTGGCTGGGGTAGCTATAACTGTATTTGCCAAGCGATACAATTGCGGCTCGCTCAATTCTTTACTTTTCCAAAACTGTATAATGTTTTGTTTGGAAGGTAATCGCGGATGAGCAGAAAAATTCTCCAAAATAGCCCTTATATTTGCGCGAGTCTGGATATAGTGCTCACGCTGAGAACATCTTTTTAATTGTTCGGTTTGAGATAGAATCGATTCCATTTCATCTACAACAACGGGAACAGCTTGAAATGTATCTTGATTATCACTTTCTGTTTGCATGACATCTGCCTCTACTTTTAATATTTGCAACCAAGTCTCATTAAGATGTCTAATGGCTAAAAGTTCTTCCTCGGCTGACAGCACGACCTGAAATCTAGGATCTAGATATAAAGCGCCAACAAAGGTAGAGTTATGCATAAGCTGCATTTGTCTTATTTTCATGTGACTGCAGATTAGTTGTGCTAGCGGTACCTGCACGTGCGATGTCTCCAAATAACATCTGGACCAGTGGTAGTAAAAGTCTCCAAGAGTTAATTGCTCTTCTTGTAATAGTTTGGTCAATACTTTAGCTGGTTTCAGTGCATTAATCAAGTCATGTAAAGCATCCCAGGTGGTTGGAGCGACAAATAAAATTTCACCGGGGTTACTTGAACAATACTCTCTTAATTCAATTAGTCTTTCTAACATGTCTAATGTTGAATGCCAACGCGTAGTTATGTCTAGAATAGGTTTATTTTTTTTTGCTATTTGAAGAATATTTTTCATTGTAGGGGTTCTAAGTTTCCGAACAATAGCACGAGCTTCTTCCACTATACATTTGGACTCATCTTCATTTATAGCATCGTTAACAGCAAGTTGCAAGGTGTGTGCTGCGCACCGTACCGAAGTTATACAATATGCATGCTCTGTATCATCCGAATCACTTCGCAGTGATATTTGTATGGGTTCCATCTCCATATCCTGGTTAAACTCTTCATCCGAGTCGGAGTCATTTAATTCATCGTTCAACAGACGGACCATTTTGACCATATTCGCACCATTGTCCGTCGTGATAGAGTAAATTTGTTCTATATTAATTTTAAACTTTCTCAGAATATATAGTAGTTTTTCTTTTAAATATTCTGCAGTGCTCCTGGCATGCAACTCTACAACACCTAAATGTTTTATATGTATAGAACCATCTACAATATATTGAGTATTCACTGCAAAGAATGATCGATCTAACCTAGTGGCGCTGTCAACTTTTATAGAAATCATTCGCCCTCTAATATCTGCAGCTATATCAGCTCTTTTCTTTTCTGCTATCTGCGAGACAAATTGCTTTATAGAATGAGAATTTAAAGATTGGGCTTCTCTCGAATTGATGGAAATCATAGAAATAATATTTCTAAAAGCCAAGTCGTCAATCATTGAAAATGGTCTACCATGGACTGTTACCAAATTGACACATTGATTTTTTAAATAATTAATTTTATTGGTAGAAGGAGCAGTGACACCACCTGTGCTTGTACTGGCGGCCGGATCAGTAATATTATTTTCTTTATTTGTAACATCTTTCATCAAACGGTTCCGCTCAGTAACTATTGTGTATTCAGTGGGATGGTTGGATGATAAATGATACATAAGATTTGTTCCATGATCACCCTAAAAATAAATAATAACATGTTAATTATTTTTTATTTATTTATTTATTTATTTTGTACACACACAATAAAATATTACATAAAAGAGAAACAAGAGACATGTACAAGGGTATTTCATAATGAAATTTCTTCCAGCAGGCCCGCAAAAGGAAAGAACATAGAAAAAGGCAGTCAGTGTGTGCTCCTGAATAAATATAACATAGTACATATGCAATACATACAATAACATACAATACATATATATACAATATGAACCTGCTGCTGAAAGCTGTGCCATTATATAGAATGTCTAGCGTAGCGTTTAGGCTAAGTTACTCCTTATAACATTAGCCATCTGCAAGTGAAAAGTCCCGTCAAAATTGGTCCAGTCATATCAGAGATAAGCGGGAACAGACAGACAGATAAAAGAATAAAAAATGTTTTTTTAGCGTATATAATTTCATATGCAATAAAGTAAAAATCTGTTAGTTTGAAATTACAAACAGATTTTATTAATTTGTACCTATAGATTAATAAATATTCCACAGCGTCCCAAAATTTTCTAGAAATATTTAAATAAAAAAAACGCGCTTAATTATAATTATAAAGTGCTTTTTATGTGTTATTAATACATAGTTTTCCGTAATGGTAAATATAAATTATAAAATGTTGTTATTATTTATTTTATTTATTTATACTTAATGCATAAGTGTACAAAGGCGGACTTAATGCCATAGGCATTCTCTACCAGTCAACCATAGGGTGTTGTGGATAAATAGTGGTAGGGTGCACAACTTACATGGAAATTACAAGAAAGACGAACATATATAAATATGAAGCAGTCATATATATAATAATTACACATACATAAATAATTACTTACATATAAATAACTATACATATACATACATACACATATAAATATACCTACTAATACATAATGATTAAGTGTTATTAAGTGTATTTAAAAAAAGACACCTTAAAAGAGTATGGGTAGGTATGTAGTAGCGTTGAAAATGGCGAAAGATACATTTTTTATTGTTTTTGTATTTTGTATTTTTCATATAGAATACCTGTAATTTTTGAAAAAACAGATTCAAAGTTCGTCTGTAAAATACAATTATACATGTACTAGCTTTTGACTGCTTTGGGATTCGGTTCGTCATAAAAGATCGTTATCGTATCCCTCAGGAGCCGTACATTTTTCCGAGATAAAAACTACCCTATGTCCTTTCCAGGGTGTCAGACTATCTTCATATCAAATTTAATTTAAATCGGTTAAGCGGTTTAAGCGTGAATGGTAACAGACAGACAAGTAGCGACCGCGGCTTGGTAATCGTAGTTTAGGACGCCCGGGCGCCCTCCAGCTAGATGGAAAGACGATTTGCAAAAGATCGCTGGCAGAAGTGGGATGCAATAAGCCGAAGACAGGGTAAACTGGCGCGTATTGAGAGAAGCCTATGTCCAGCAGTGGACTGCAATAATTTTAATTTAATTTATATATTATTATTAATTTATATAGGCTGGTGGTGATGATTAAATGAACACATTGCACACTATTACACTACACAGCGATACGATACTGGTATCGATAGTCGACTTGACATTAATTGACAACGACGGCGACTGCGACACCGACAACGATCTTTATAATTTAGATTACTATACTACACTTTAGAAACGTCTCAGATTTGGCAGACATTAAAAGCAAGTAATTTTAACTATTACGTAGACGTATCGGTTGAATCTTTTGCCTAAAAATACCTATTTTACACTGTATTATTTGTTAATATTATTTTATTTATTAATAATGCGAAAAATAGGTACATTGCATAATACAATGTAAAAAGGTACTTATTATGCGAAAGATCCAACCAAAAGCGAGCAATGAGTTACTGTATTTTATTAGAAAATACACGATTTTTCATATGTCATTTTCAACGCTAGTAGGTGCCAGGTATTTTATCTGCGATAAATGTTTGGATGTGGGATAGGTATTAAGGAATAATATCACAGGTAAAAAGTAGCATGTCTGTTACTCACTGACCGGTAAATATTGACTTCTTGAATATGTATTTTATAAAATAACCAGATACGAACTTACTTTTACTACGGCTGAGCAACCAAGCACTTGGCAGGTAGAAGAATTATTTTCCTTTGAAAATGAAAAGAACGCATAGACTGCATTTTTGCGTTTACGTCCCATAATTATAAATTCATACAAACTACTTAATTATAAAAAAAATACGCTATCACAACTGTTATTACCGGGCCATCAGTGTTCACTGTGTGTTGACTAGCGAGCGGCCGACGATTCGCGACAAAAACCGGTTCTGATTGGTTCGCCGGCGCACACGCCCGTGCCTTGCTCACCCTTGCCGGTGCCTCACACCCTTCGCCCCACGTCCCGCAACGGTCAATACTGTTTTTTCGGTACCGATATCGCATAAAGGTTAAATAACGGTATGGCCTTACCTTTATTTTATTAAGGTACACTTATTTAATACAGGTATCGTAACCGTATACCGTAACCGCTTTCAGTCCCTGGTTTAAATCTAAAGAAAAGTTTACTAAAGTAGAACTTTTTATTAGATGCAGTAAAATGACGTTTTGTGGGTTACCGCTTTTTGAAGAAAAATAAATAGGGATGTAGCTAAGTGAGTAAGTGAATCATTCAATAAATGAATGATCAGGTTGGTTTTATTTTAGAGATTTAATATTAAGTTGTAATGTTTTTTTATTCTATTATTATTACTTTAATAAAGGATTGATCTTTTTCAGTGGAAGTTTAAGGACGTACATCCAAAATTAAACAAAATTGTCATAACAATGTTATTTATTAATCAATCATTTTCGGAATTATTATCGCTTTCAGTCACACTTATGACAAATCTGTCTGTCATTTCATCTATAAAATGATCGAGGTGGCACATTTTGTCTTCCTCTTTTATAGTGTGAGACACACAGTCACTTCACTTAGTCGGTGTCACTATAACTTGTAGCACCTAAAAATTATTAACTTATTATTACCTAATTGGTTAAAATTTCACATGGGGTGGGAGAAAACATATTATACCTAACGAATAATAATAAGATTAGCGATGACAGGTAAACTAACCTTTGCGATGGTGGGTACTTCATTTCTATGAAAGAACTGATGTACAATTTGTCTAATAGCGGTGAATGTAAAATCATGAAGTTTTACTTTAAATGTAAGTTTTGGGCCAGAGTTTTCGGGAGGTTTAAGTGATTCACAGTCGTTCTCCTTATGCTCCTTTAAAACGGAATAAACAGTGCGGACGGATATTCCCAAGACTTCAGCCACCTTGTTGACGCATTCACTTGTTTTTGGAACTTAAATGTTTGATTCTGTAGATTTCACTACAAATTCATATTTGTAAACGTTTATGTATGACCCAAAGTTTCTCGGTTGCACTTAGCTACACGTCACCTTATTTTCTTAGGAGATAAAAATGTATCTCCATCTTGTGATGTGCTCAACTGAGCATCCATCTCTTCGATGTAACAAACAAAAAAAGCTGTCACGATAAAAAATAAGTAACGAAAAACAAACACAACGTAACAAAAATTTAACAATAAAGATAACTAAAACAACTCGCAGTGGGCAAAGCAAAGTTATTCGTGCACTCAAAATAGAAGTTAAAAGCCGAATGAGCGAATGACAAATAAAATAAAATGGCGGAAAAGCGTCATCGTAGCACCGTAACTAAAAACCAGTACCGACTTGAGATTTTATACAGCCTTTTATTTATATGAATAATAAATAGAATTAAGTATGATCATTATGAGGTACTACTATCACTATGGAACGATTAGATTTTCGGTGAACCTAAGCACATCCCTATTGAAATTAGGCTGTCAACATTATTTTACGGAATGACATTTTGAAACGTCATTTTACTGCAGCTAATAAAAAGTCGAAGTATAGAAAAAAAATGAACTGAAGTTTAAAAAGTGAAACTGAAGTTGTGTTCTAGAACAGTCGTAATTCCTTCGAATATCACTTATGAGGAATACACAACAAGAAAGAGTTCTATTTTCAAATATGTAGTGCAAAGGAAGACAAAATATTCGACCTCGGCGGTGGCGCTTGTATTTTACACCACAGAGCTGTTATGCTCGAGAGCCACTTAGTAACACTTGCGACGTGGCGGAGTCACGATCCTCGACCTCACTGGAGTCGATATCTGACCACTTAAACCGATTGAATCCGGTGGGCATTTACGTTTTAAACATGCGCATAAAGGTGCTGTCCGACGTTCTGTGTTGTCGCGATCGCGGCCGCGCGCCACGCAGGTTTGCCAAACGTATAAGGACTCCAACGTTGGAGATTTAGCAGTATCTATACATGATACGAGGTGATGATACGACTAAGGATGCAGTGAGTGAATCTGTACTTACTGAGACGATCTTTTGTGGGCTACACATTTCATTTGCTCTCTGATAATATTTTTGGTTCGTGTACATGACACAAACAGTCAATATTGTTCACATCTCATATCAAAGAATACGAGATTTCTATTTACCTCGTATCATGAATAAATACTGCTAAATCTCGAATGATAGAGTTCTCATACGTTTGGCAAGCCGGCGCGGCCTCGCCTGCGGCAACACAGATCGTCGGACATCACCTTTAGACGTCTGTTTACGCAGTGATTTGATACAAGAAAGTAATTTAGATTCAAAACTGCTTTGTCCTTTTTGGTGTCCTATGTAGCTTCTTTCTGCCCTATTACAAAACGTTGTTTAATCTTAAACCGAGTCTAAAACTGATGAGGTCACAATGAAGAAGACAGAGACAGCATTAGGTTTAAACCTGGACTAATTTTAGTCCGCGCTTTGGAAAAAGTCAGTTTAAGTTTGACTTTATAACGCTGTGAAAAGTATATTTTACATAGCTCTTTAATATTTAGGTACATGTCGTCTTTAATAGCGTTATATTTATAGTACGCTTCAGAATTAGATCTTATGTTATTATTATTTATAAAAGATTTAAGTAGTTGAAGTATTTTGAAGAAAGATTTTCAATTTTGCGTACCACGAATATAAATATGTTTCCTAACTATAATAAACGTGTTTATTTTTTTATTTTAGAATTGTAAAAGAATCTACACCTTGTTCAAATGTGACTAGTAAAAATAAACGTAGTCACGTATCGGGCTTGAGAAGTGGGTTATCAGTTTTGTCGATAACATTAATGTTTGCCTTCGCACTCCACTAGGAAATCTGCCGTGTAAACAACTTCGCCTCTAGCCGGACTGAGAATGTTTTAATACGTTAAGACTTGGGAAAGAATCTATACACAATAAAATGATAGGAAAGTCAAAACTGTATATTGAATATTTTTTTAAAATAATACTTGGTGTATGATCTACAATCGATACCGAAGCCAAAAATATAGTTTTGAGAATTTTTGTCTGCTTGTCTGTATGTATGTCCGGGATAAACACAAAAAGTACTGCATGGATTTACTTCACATTTGGCACGAATATTATTAAGAAGTCGGGTCAACATATAGACTACATATTATTAAGCTAACACCTACGGGGAACAAACAGTGAACCTTAATTTCTAACTAACTCTACGCGTACGAAGTAGCGGGCGGCCGCTGGATGCGTTACTATTAAAACCAAATATAAATTGGATGACTGTAAGAAATGACTGGTGGTGCGGCAGTGTGTTCGTTCGTCATAGTTGTCATGTTTCGCAAAGATGATGGAATATTCATTAATAGTCAATACGTCCAATAGCAACAAAAAATCTTAAGGAAATACTACTAAAAGTATATATATGTACTAGTGTACTACGAAACAGCTGACGGTCATGACGGAAAAATCTAACACTATTTTCGCCTAGCCCCCATCAGCCAAATCCGTACAGTTCGTGTGATAAAAAATACGTTCCAACACGAAACTTTTTTTTTTAATTTAATAAACAAACACGGCTGAGAGAGAGCAACAACCTCACGCACCACGATATCTCGATTGCGTGCCTCCATCGATCGGTAGGCTGTACCTACCTCGTTCCCGCTGGCCTACTTTAGGGACCCAGCCAGTACTTACGCACTTTGACAAATGCGCTCGCCGTTTGATAATAATGTCGATAAAACGTCAAAACTCAAATATGACATTTATGTTTTTTTTTGACATTCTATCATTTAACTGTTGAATGAGAGTGTTAATGTCGATTAATTTTAATACAGCGTTTTTTAATTAGATATTTGAATAATTTAGAAGTTTGTGATTGATTATACATGTATAAGGATAGAATCAATGATTCCTTGATAATTAAAATTATTTGAAATTATTATCCGAATCTTCAGAATTCATTGTAACTATATTTTTTTAAATATCGTGTTTGTGAATGAAGACATTCCTAAAATAAAAATCGGTCGTGATCGGCTTAATAATATATGTTCAAGCATCTTATGCTCATTTGCAACAAAATTCCTAATTGAAATTAATCATGTTTATCACGTCATCTTTGTCATTTGTTTAAAGTTAAATAGAAATAGAATGAGGCTTAAAAATGATTAGCTTTTAAATATTATTAGAAGTTTGAGTTGGGCGTAAACGTATCTCCTTACAATCATATCATAATCATATCATATCAGAATCATAAGGTAATATAGTATAAAAAATAAGCAAATGAAGCACCAACACGTATCAGCACATTTATTATTATATACAAGAAGTATTACTTTTCTGATGTCCTACTATGTCGGGAAACCAGTAGTAGTAAGTGAAAAACCTTTCTAACTCATCATCAATTTTATATTTATCAACATTGCAGTCGCAATACACGCGAATACGCGATTCAATTAAACTAACAAACTGTGCGGACTCAACTCATTAACCAACAAAGTAGTCCAAGCCAATAAACTGAAGTATGCCACAGTGCAACAATAATTGACCCAGTTTAATATTCTAAGAAATATATCATAATAACAAAGTGGTGTGCAATTTGAAATTGCACTTGTTACAACAAATCATTATAAAAAAAAAATCTTTTGCGTCGTCCATATATTGTATACACATAGGTATAGCAACAAAGATGAAATAAAAATTAAAAAATAATCATAAAAAAATTAGTGATCAGTATAAAAATAAGACCAATTATTTTGCGAAGTTATATGCAGATTAAATAAATAAATGTTTATATTTTTGTGTTATTCTGAACTTTATA